CGCGGCCGCCGCCGCCGCCGCCGCCGCCGCCGTCGCCGCCATTTTCCCAGAGCGAGAGGCAGTGACACTGAGCGGGCGCAGGGGGCCGAGTCGGCGACCGTGCTTGAGTTCGGGAGCGGCCACAGAGGGGGCATAGACAAGCTGAGCAGCCTCGCCGTCGCCTCTGCGTTCCTGTTGACTGACTGGGTGTCCCCTCCCCTACTCTTTGGCTGCTGGTGAAGAGGCTGCGCGCTGCTGTTTGGGGAGGGGGTGTGTGGAACTGGGTCCTGTGTCCGCAGTGGCTGCTGTCTGGGGGTCGCCTGATCGCGGAGGTGTGGAGAGCCTCCTCGGGGGTCAAGCAGATAACGGGGTTCGGGTGTCTGGTGTGTGAACATCACAGGTCAGTGCCTGTCGTCTCCTTGGGAGTTCCTGGGGTTTGCGGGGTGGAGGGACTTGTGATTCCGGGGGAAGGGGGCTTTTTCATATTTATCCTTCGAGGGTGGGGGGTGTCAGTCGACGTTGACGCTCAGGTGTCTTGGCTGGGGCAAGACGTTCCTTGTGTGAATTGAATTTCTTCTTTCTCTTTCCTGTCCCTAGAAAGGGAGCATTATGGCGGGTTTTAGGGTTGGAGAAGGGGAAACTGGCAGTTAAACCCCCTTGAGAATGGGAGTTAGGGAGGGGGCGCACTCCTCATTGGCAGCGGGTTGAAGCCGCTTGCCTGAGGAGGGAAGCTGTTAGTGGGGTTCGTGTCGAAGTGGTCCCGGGGGCTGCCAGCTCTCCCTCTCCTCACCCGCATCTTGTTCAGGTGCTGAAAAGCGTGTAGGCCCCATTTTCTTGGTCTCTTTCCTTTGCTTGACTGGCAGTCTCCGGCAGTATTTTCTTGTCATTACGAGGGGGCTTTGGAGAACGCCCTGGGTATCTCTTTGTGGGAGAAGGAGACAGCTCCTCATCCTCTCCGGGAGAGGGTAAACCCGCCCCTGAGGTGGTCACCCCAGTACCCAGCCTTCTCAGTCTCCTCCCCCACTCCTCTTGCATTATCTCCGTCCTTTTACAGTACCGGAGGCTTAGAAGCCACAATATGGCACATTTCGGGAAAGCTTATTTTGACCAAGGGATTGGCACAAATACTGTGGCAGCAGACAAGAGGAGAAACAAACGGTTCACTGTGCTAAACGGGGGAGGGGAGAGAGAAAAAACAATCCGGAGAGTGCGCTCTTCTACTGGCGTTGGAGATCCGCTCTGGCTGGACTCTATTTTAAGACTGATCCAATTTAGAGTCAAAGAGGGATCGCTGGCAACTCTGGAGTAACCCCGGTTTTGCTGATTTCTCCTCCTTTTTAGAAATGTGAAATAACGTAAGGTGTTTGGAGTTCTGGAGGCCTTGTAGAGATTTAAGTGAGGTGCATTCAACTTTAGGCTGGCGACGTCAGAACCTAATTGGAAAATAGTCCATTTTTTTCCTTGAATTTCCGAGATGGGGAGTAAAAAGTGAAATTTCCCTCTTTTGTCCTTTACAGATTCTAAAAATGGCGGCCCCAGGCTGATGTTGTGGTAATCTAATCAGCTCGGGTCCTCCACACCCCATGCAGTGCGTTTGTCTGCAGCATATTACAGGCTTATTATGTTTACATGAAAAGGCTGGGCTTTTTTCCTCCCCCAAACCATTTACAAAAATGTGTTGCTTTTACTGCAAATTACAAAGCTTTGTTTTAGTTGATTAATTTTATTGTTTTTTTCCTGAAAGGGAAATAAAATGACACCACTTTTGAAAAAAAATGAAAGCGCTCAGGTAGTCTTAAATTTTCAGTGATGAGTCTAGGTGCTCTTAAACATTACGAAATATATTTCGGCATAAATTATAGGTTTTGAACCATTTGATCGAAGCACCTTTTATCGAATATGCTAAAATAAATTAAAAGGTTTAATGAGTGTTTAGTGCAGCCTACTTAGTATGACTAGACGTTTTAATCCTAGAGTGAAATATTTCCCATTCAACTCTTGACCAATTTTGTAAATTTTGGGTTTTGTACTGTTTCAGAATAATTTTTAGGAAGCTGTACAAACATGCCTAAACCTGTTACTTCACCGGTGTGGAGGTGCTTGCTCTTCCCCCTAATGTAATTTGTATCCATTTTTTCTTTTCCTATTTAAGCACTTCCTTAGGAATTTTCAAAGTTGATTGTTTATTTGATAAAGTGTATCTCCATGATTTGTTGCTCTTTAAAATTGTCATAGCACGGTGTAATAATTATGTAAGTAAAAAATAATATGTTATTGCTTGGTTTTTTCCCCCTCCCCTCCCCCCATGCCATTTACCTTTTACTGGCATTAAAAGTGATACCATAACAGGGTCTTGAATCCATTTTATGCTAATTTCGAATCTTATAGAATGAGACAGGACATTAAATGATGTCATTTAGCTGTACTTTGTAAAGTGTGAATGATTAGAATTCTTGTCTGTGGTGGGTGGGAGGTAGATCTTTTTGGCCTGAACTAAACAATGAGATAGAGTAGCCCATTAATGGAATTTAATGACCAGTCTGATTGTGGAGCTACTGAAAGTTGAGCACCATTCAGTCCAGTGGTGCTTAAAAAGGCTGATGAATATACAGCTTTTCATGATTCTTTTATTCCATTGTAAATCCAGTTCTAAAATGTTTACAATGGAATAAGGGAATGAAGTTTCTATATGAAGTAGATTGATAGTAAGGTCCTACTTCTCAAAGTAATCATAGAAATCACCAACTTAGGGAGTTTCTTCATGGAATAAGAGCACACAAACTTAGAATCTTTGAAATATTTTATTTTCATAATGACAAATGGTTGACAGGTAGCGGTAAAGTTTCTGTAGGGATTTGGGGTCAATATACATTTGTGTTATGCGGATGTGATGTAAGTCCATATCTAACTTCTGTGTAAAGATTCTGCATTTATTTCATAAACTAAGTGATAAAGATCTGTGGCTCAGAAGATTGGCCCAATGTAAGGAATCAGTACAATTTTTTTGGAAATTTGGTTTGTGTATCATTGGAGGGAACGCTGTCTATACCCATTTTTCTTGATAGTGACCTTGATCAGGTCTAGACACATAAAACATTTGAACCTATTTGGCTTTAAACTAACAATATCAAATTAGAAATTGTAAGAAAAACTGCCTGCCCTCTGCTAGCTTTCTTCCTTACTGACCTGTTTGGTTACTTTGGGTTTTGTTTCTTTTTTGTTTGCTTTGGTTCCAGTAAATAATAAGCTTGGCTTTACAATATAAGTAACATGGGTAAAAAGTTTTTTTTTTTCCTACTGTATATCCCAGTTGGTTATATGTTTTAAATTAGGATGTTGAAACAAATTTATTAAAGGTTAGGCATAATTTTTGTTCCCAGAGTTTTGAAACATTTGGTTCCTTTGGGGAAACTGGTTAAATGGTCTTTGTTTGTAGGACAGCTGAGTTTGAGGGATTGTTTATCTGTTTAAGTGGATTTGTAGGAAATCATAATGTAATTGAAGAACAAATTTTATTTTTAGAGACTGAATTGTGATCATACTTCCCTTTTGTTGTCAGTGTAAGTTAAAGAGTCCTTTGATCTGAATTTAAGTTCTGAACCTTTGTAGGACTTCTCCATTTCCCTTCAACTCTTTAGGTGTGATAACTCTCCTATAATTTAGGCTTCTCTGTCTTTTACATAGGTTCCAGTCTGAATTTTTATCATATAAAGCACCCTAGGACTTCTTTGTTTTAAAAGTGAAGTAATGGGGATGGGGGGAGTCAATGTTAAGGATAAATTCTTCCCCTCCACTACATACCTTAGTGATTTTGTGAAATTGTAGCTTCTTAAATTGGTTTCTTATTGCTAAGAGTAATGTATTCATTTTCATATGTCACATTCTCAAAAAAAAACCTGTGGTCTCGTTTTAAAAAGTATATTATGCAAATCCTAATAGCTTTGTTTTTCTGGGAGTTATTACTGGAACTTTTCTGGGAGTTATTACTGTGTGCTAACAATGTATGTTTGAAAACATTCTATAAAATCAAGAGGACTTTGAAAAGTTATCTAAAATTGCTTAAGAAATATAGTTATGAAGTTTATATTTAAAATATTTTAATATATAATAGCTCTTATTTCCAAAGGATTTAGTTTTAGTGGGTGTTCAATTATTTGTTGAATTTAAAGTTTTTAAGTGAATATATTTATATCTGAAATATTTAGGGTGATCACGAACTGTTCCTTTTCATGTATTAGAATAATTATAAAAACACTTGTATTCAATGAGACTTTTTAATATTATCTATGGAATTATTTTTACATTATCATAAAATTATTTTTTGTGTTAACTTACAAAATAGCTGAAAGGATACTATTTGTGATACTGTTGTATAAATGTTAACTAGATTTTAAGTTTAAAATTGAAATGGCTCAAATAATGGGCATAGTAATGTACAGATATTGGGAGGAGTCTTGGTATTGGAAGGACGCTTTCAGTTGCCTGAAATGCCTTTAATATTGAAAATAATATTGTATTTGTATATGAAAACGATAGACATTTAACTGTAAAAATCCTGCTAAGCAGTAACACAGCATTTGATATAAAGGGAAGAATTTATCAAAACAATCTGGTTTTTGTTGTGAACACCGAAGCTTAGTGCTAACTATATTGAAAGTCAAATGGTAATGAGTCAAGTTAATTCGATTTTATTTTTATCTTTAAGATTGAGAAGTTTTTAATCAATCTTTGGTAAATAGGATCCTTTTTAAATCAGAGTTAAGAAAACATTTTTACTTTTTCCTTAATATGAAAGTGACTTATATACAGCTTATAAAACAAATTTTATTTATAGGTTAGAAAGCCATTCTAGTTGAAACAAAATGATTTGCAGTGCTTTAATTATACAATTGGAGAAGAGAGATAATTTTCTAGCAACTCTTAGATGATTGCTCAATTTAGAGTTAATCCAAAGGAATAAACATTCTTGGTTCTGAAGTTTATTATTGAGAAAGATAATATTGAGTAATCACACCTGAGTTTTAGCCAACTTGGTTATAGCATTGAAGGTTTGACTGAGGCTGTGGCAGAAAGCTAAGTGATATATCAGTGGGATTGAGTTACTTTTGGTTTGTGGTATTTATAAGGTAATTTAAAGTTCAACTTTATATAATAAATGTTAACCTAACATTTTATCTGAGCCCAGAATATTTTTGTCTTTGTTGATTTTTGTTTGAAAGGTATTTGAAACATAATTTCGATTTGAAGAAAAGTCATCCTAATTTCTAAAAACATAAAATTTAAGTCTTTTCCCATTTTTCTGATTCCCATTTTTCTGATTGCTTTGTTTCAGAATAAGGTAAAGCAAAAAAGTGAAGAAAGTGGTAAAAAAAAGAGTCCTTAAATAAAGGATATTGTGAA